TTTTTAGTAGAGGTGGAGTTTCAACATGTTGGCTAGGCTGGTTTCAAACTCCTGGCCTTAAGTGATCTGCCTGCCTAGACCTCCCAAAGTGCTGGGATTACAGGCTTGAGCCACCACCTGGCCTGATTCTCCCTCTTTAGATTCCCAAGTAGCTGAGACTACAAGCAAGCATCACCATGCCTGGCTAATTTTTAAATTTTCTGTAGAGACAGAGTCTTGCTATGTTTATCAGGATGGTCTCGATCACCTGGCTTCAAGTGATCTTCCCGCTTTGGCTTCCCAAAGCACTGAGATTACATGTGTGACACACCGCTCCCAGACTGGATTCGAGGACTTTCTGATCTGTGAGTGGTTAAAGAGGTTAAGCTTTGTCCAAAAGTTTGAGATCAGCAGACAAGAATTTTAGCTCTAACTTGTGGGTGTGACCTGCCTCGGGCCCCTCAGGAAGAGTTAGAAGAATAACCATCAGAGTTCAGTCCTTGGTTCCCCCTTCGCTGAGCTCTGTGTGTCAGCAGATTCATTTGGTGGGGATCTGGGTCTCCACAAACAATTCAGGGCCATATGTTAAGATGTTATCTTTAGTTTCTATAGAGAGCAAAACATCTGACTCTAACTTCCTTGGCTATTGTTTTAAGCTACTGTTATCTTCTTGCTTAACAAGCTGTTCATTTACTTCTCAGGGCCAATATGCCTGGAATTTCCCTTGAAGGAACTCAAGAGTTTCCTTTATTTTCTTGCTGGGGGAGAAGGGAGGGAACCTACAGGCCTTAAAGACGGGTCTCTGTTCTGTCTCAGTTTTAGCCATAGCTTTTGTGTGGTTGGGTGGGGGGGAGGTTGGAGATGTTTCTCTCTCTCTCTCTCTTTTTTTTTTTTTTTTTTTAAATAAAGTCACCATCTCTTGCCCATCTCTGTTTTACTGATGACTCTTCAGGATGGACACCCTAATGACAGAGAGAGGAGGCAGCCAAGAGTCTCCCAGTGAAACTCCTCCTTCAAGCCTAAAACAATCTGAAGGCTTGAAAAAATGGACAGCTGGTCTGGATGAAGTCTGCCCTTTCCCAACTGATTCTTTCTGAATAATGCCCGTCTGCAGACTGGGAGGAGCCTTGGGAAGTTCTATTTGCAGTGGGGAGGATCCTGGCCTCTCCTGTTCTGTGTGGTGATCTGAGATTCAATCTGTGAGGTGGCACACCTGCTAGCAGGACTCTCTCTCGCTTTGCTGGAATTCCTATTCCCCCCCCCTTTTTTTCCCCTTTTCCCCCAATAAACCCTGCCCTACTCACCTTACAGTGTGCCCCTGTGCCTAAATTATCCTGGTTGTGTGACAAGAACCTGTTTTTTTTCCATAACACTAACAACAATAGCTAGTACACACATCCTCCATGCTCCATTCTGCACTGTTCTAAGCACTTTAGTCATTTAATCCTTATTACATCCTTCGGAAGAAGGTATCATTATTACTTTAATTTACAGATAAACACGATTCTGCTGGGGGGAGGGTGGGGGAAGCCAGAAGCGCAGAATGGTTAAATCACTTGTCCAAGGTCCACAGCTAATTACCCTTAAAGAGTATGCATGTTTTACAAAGAATGTTTTGGAGCAATTTATTTTTATATTTTATTTTATTTATTTATTTTTGAGATGGAGTCTCGCTCTGTAGCCCAGGCTGCAGTGCAGTTGTGTGATCTTGGCTCACTGCAACCTCCACCTCCTGGGTCCCAGTTCAAACAGTTCTCCTACCTCAGCCTCCCATGTAGCTGGGATTACAGGCATGAGCCACCATGCCCAGCTAATTTTTTTTTTTTTTTGAGACGGAGTTTCACTCTTGTTAGCCAGGCTGGAGTGCAATGGCGTGATCTCGGCTCACCGCAACCTCCGCCTCCTGGGTTCAGGCAATTCTCCTGCCTCAACCTCCTGAGTAACTGGGATTACAGGCACACGCCACCATGCCCAGCTAATGTTTTGTATTTTTAGCAGAGACGGGGGTTTCACCATGTTGACCAGGATGGTCTTGATCTCTTGACCTCGTGATCCACCCGCCTCGGCCTCCCAAAGTGCTGGGATTACAGGCTTGAGCCACCGCGCCTGGCTAATTTTTGTATTTTTTAGTAGAGACGGAATTTCACCATGTTGGCCAGTCTGGTCTTGTACTCCTGACCTCGTGATCTACCTGCCTTGGCCTCCCCAAGTGCTGGGATTACAGGCGTGAGCCACCGCGAGCAATTTTAGAGCACCAAAACATCAACGTCCACTTAATTTAAGGTGAGTTTAATTTTGTGCAACTCTATTTTGCTTTAACTCTTTGGATGGAGCTGTTTCATCATTTCTCACTCTCATTTTCTTTTATGGAAAACAGGACAAATAGAGGACTCAGGAGTTCTTTAGTCACTTAAGAACAGACCATGCCAAAGTGAAACACCATGTTAAAATACCAGATGAGCCCAAATGTTATGCGACATTTTCGGAAATTAAGTGTTCTACGAAGACACTGGCTTGTTACCAGTCTTATCACCTATAGGTGTGTCTCTGGCCTTGTTAACATAATTATTCCTGTTTCTCTTTTGTTCCCACTCACCTGAGATGAGTCATGAATCACTCAGATAACTCAGAAATTTGCCTTTGTAGCCAGAAAGCTCTAAGTAGAAATGAACTGAAATCTGAACAAACTTTTGAAAGGAGACCCACTGCCGAAACTTCAAATTTAATTCCAAGGAGAGATAAATGATGAAATAGTGTTAAAATAATCCACTGTTACATTGTCAGAGCAATCCTACCCTGGATTCTCTCCCACCAGGTGCACACAGAAGTTTGTTAGAATAACCACCACAGGTCAGGTGTGGTGGCTCACGCCTGCAATCTTAACACTTTGGGAGGCTGAGGTGGGTGGATCACTTGAGGCCAGGAGTTCAAGACCGGCCTGCCAACATGGTGAAACCCTGTCTCTACTAAAAATACAAAAATTAGCCTGGTGTGGTGGCATGTGCCTGTAGTCCCAGCTACTCAGGAGGCTGAGGCACAAGAATCACCTGAACTCAGGGGACAGAAGTTGTAGCAGTGAGCTGAGATTGCACCACTGCACTCTGACCTGGGTGACAGAGTGAGACCCTGTCTCAAATTAAAAAAAAAAAAAAAAAAAGGATAACCATCACAGTACTGATACGGATTTTGTGATAGGTCACAACAAAACCACCCAATCTTTCTGCTTCCTATTATTCCCAGATCAAACTGAGGGTCAGGCTGCTATTTCTTGTGGCCCCATAACAAGATGTAGGTGAACCGGGGAGGAAGAGAGTTTTTATTTCTGTGACTGGTTTTAGGGAGAAGGCCTGGAAATTATTGCCAGACTAACTCAAAATTACAAGGTTTTTCAGAGCTTATATACCTTCTAAGCTATGTGTTTACGTGTAAGTGTGCATTCATCTAAAGACATAATTGATTAACTTCTTTTAATCTACAACTGAGGTCTGAGTCCTGAAGATCTTCTTCTGGAGCCTCAGTAAATTTACTTAATCTAAATGGATCCAGGTGTTTCACTGACTAGTATGTCTGTTTTTTGGGGGCTTTTTGTTTTCATTGACTTGTATGTATGTTTTTGTTTCATTGACTTGTATGTCTAGCTTTGTAAGTACATTTTAAGATCAGGTAGCATGATGCCTCCAGCTTTGTTTTTCTTTCTCAAGATTATTTTTGCTACTTGGGGTCTTTTGTGATTCCATATGAATTTTAGAATTGTTTTTTCTATTTCTGTGAAAAATTGTCATTGGAGGGGGTGCACTGAATTTTTAGTTTGTTTTGACTAGTATGAACATTTTTACAATATTTATTCTTTAAATTCACGAACACAGGTAGCTTTCAATTTATTTGCGTCTTCAGTTCTTTCATCAATATTTAGTTGTTTTCAGTGTACAGATCTTTCACTTCTTTGGTTAAGTTTATTTTTCTTCAAACAGATATCCAACAGTACTGTTCAACAATACAGTCTACTCTGGATATCATTTCCATAAATATATTTCATAAATGTATTTGTGGTCAGTCTCTAATGATTGTCTAATAATGCAGACTATACAATGCAAATCAACAGCAAAGTAAAGTTACATATCCTGCTGTATTCATCCACTTTCACGCTGCTGGTAAAGAAATACTTGAGACTGGGCAATTTACAAAAGAAAGAGGTTTAATGGACTTATGTCTCACAAGGCTGGGGAGGCCTCACAATTATGGCCAAAGGTGAGAAGAAGCAAGTCACATGAATGGCAGCAGGCAAAGAGAGAGCTTGCGCAGGGAAACCCTTGTTTTTAAAATCATCAGGTCTTCTGAGACTCATTCACCATCATGAGAACAGCCTGAGAAAGACCCACTCCCATAATCCAGTCACCTCCTACCAGGCTCCTCCCGCAACATGTGAGAACTGTGGAGTTACCATTCAAAATGAGATTTGGGAGGGGATACGGCCAAACAATATCACCTATAGCTAAGAAAAATGTTATGAAGTTGATGACGGTAATACTGGAGAACTGCTAAGCCATTGGCAAATCTAGATATTGCAGAGTTAAATCATGTAAGAAATATAAGAAAATGACTTGCCGGGCGTGGTGGCTCACGCCTGTAATCCCAGCACTTTGGGAGGCTGAGGCAGGTGGATCACGAGGTCAACAAATTGAGACCAGCCTGGCCAACATAGTGAAACCCCGTCTCTACTAAAAATACAAAAAATTAGCCGTGCGTGGTGGTGCATGCCTATAGTCCCAGCTACTCAGGAGGCTGAGGCAGGAGAATTGCTTGAAACCAGGAGGCGGAGGTTGCAGTGAGCCAGGATTGCACCACTGCACTCCAGCCTGGTGATAGAGCGAGACTCTGTCTAAAAAAAACAAGGAAAAATAAGAATGAGATAGAATTGGCAAGCATAATGACAAGACAGGAAATTCAAAAGAGAATGATGTAAATATAAAAGAATTAAAATTTGAGTTACTTGGCAAAACCAATGACAATTGGTTTTTTAAATAACTATTTTTCTATTTATTTGAAGGAACTGGTACACTTTGGAAATTCAGCGGCACAAAGTACCCTGCCATAACTTGAGAGGCATTATTCAGTAAAAAAGAAAGGAAATAAGAAGGAAAAAAAAAATCCTGTTTCAAACACTGCATTACATAATTTTACCTGCCCAAACAGACCATTTACAAATATTAGGTCAACAAACTGCTAACATCCATAAAAAGGTAGCTTTCTTTTTTTAATTTTTATTTTTAAAAAATATGGAACGCTTCACGAATTTGCGTGTCATCCTTGCGCAGGGGCCATACTAATCTTCTCTGTATCTTTCCAATTTTAGTATATGTGCTGCCGAAGTGAGCACAAAGGTAGCTTTCTTACCAAAATGCAAGAATTTAAAAGATTGGTATCTAAACAAAAGAAAAAAACAAACTGGAATGAAAGCCTAGATATCACATCTAAAATCAGGGTTTTTTGTTTGGGCCTCTTCTCTCCCTCTACCATATCCTGTTGGAGTTCCAGGCCCCATTCCTGTAGGACCCTGTCCACTCACAGGCTCCACACCTCCCTGCCCAATGTGCTCACTATGCATGTCACTTCCCATGATGGAACCACTCATGGTTGCTGGTGGAACTCCAGGATTAGATTCATAACCTATGCCACCACCACCACCTAGAGGTGGAAATTTCTGGCCTCCTGAAACATAGGGATCTCTCATGTTCATTGTTCCTCCACCACCCATTCTCATGTCTCTTTCTCTTGGATCCATGTAGCCCATTCGGCTGTAACTTTCCTCTCTTTGGTGCCTCATTTGTTCTTTCATCTCATGTTGACGAATCACCATCTTTTACTCTCTTCTACGTCGTTCCTTCTCTTGCCTCAATTGCATTTCTTTACGTTTCTGCATTTCTTTATTGTGAAGCTCTTCCACACGTCTTAATTTTTCCTGTCGTCTCATCAGATATTGGTGCAAAAGATTTGCCTGATGTTCATGATAGGTATTTTCCATTTCACTTTCCAATCTGTCTTTTGCATCCTACATGTTTTTTTCAACTTGTTTCCTTTGCTGTTTTTCCATTTCATCCAAAGACTTCCATCGCTGAGAATACTCGTACTCAAATGTGCCATGCTGGGCAAAATGAGGAGGGGTTTCTCTCTCCTTTTGATACATTGGATTCTTCTGGGCAAGTTTTTCAGGAAGACCATCTTCATCAGTTGTTCAAGTGGTTCTACAATGACTGGACCAGGAGTTGTTGTCAGAAAGAAAACACCTTCACGGCATCGTTCAAATGCCTTTATTGCTGCTGGTTTAGAAGCAAATTCAACAATGCCTTTCCCTGTAGATCTTCCACGATCATCCACTATTACAGCCGCCCTTTCTTTCTTTCTTTTTTTTTTTTTGAGACGGAGTTTCGCTCTTGTTACCCAGGCTGGAGTGCAATGGCGTGATCTCGGCTCACCGCAACCTCCGCCTCCTGGGTTCAGGCAATTCTCCTGCCTCAGCCTCCTGAGTAGCTGGGACTACAGGCACACGCCACCATGCCCAGCTAATTTTTTGTAGTTTTAGTAGAGACGGGGTTTCACCATGTTGACCAGGATGGTCTTGATTTCTTGACCTCGTGATCCACCCGCCTCGGCCTCCCAAAGTGCTGGGATTACAGGCTTGAGCCACCGCGCCCGGCCAGCTGCCCTTTCAATAGGATCAAACTGGCTAAAGGCTTCTTCCAACAGTTCATTGGAAATGTAAGTTGAAAGATTAGGAACAGAAAGGGTAGCAGCAGGTGTGGCAAAGCAAACTCAAAGCTGTCTGCCTCCCATGGGTGTATCATTGAGTTCAGCTTTGGCAATTTCACCAAAGCTCTAGATTCAAGCTTAATAAATCCGAATTCTTTGCCTTTGTTGATAAAAACTTCTGGTTCTCCACATTTAGCAAATAGTCTTTTGATTCATCCTCCGTGATACGAGTAGGTAGACTCCCAACAACCGACATCGCTGTGTATAAGTTTTCTCTCCAGGCCTCCTCAAGAGAGATAAGTTGGCTTTAAACCTCTCCAAGTCCGAGATCTTCCCCTGGCTGCTGCCGCCCGGCCCGCTGGGCCAGGGACCCTGGTGGTGCTGCCGGTGGCAGGGCGGGTGATGCAGGTGGCCTCCAAGGGGCTCCCCACCGCCTCGTTGCGGCGGCTTGGGGTGGCGGCCGAGAGTGCTTAGGCCTGGGCCGCCACCTGGCTTCGGGCCGCCAGGCATTTTGCCGCCCTTGGGACCGCCCGGGCCTGGGCTCTGCTTAGGCCCCGGACCCCGGCCCGGGCCTCCGGCCTGAGGAGGTGTGGTAGGGCGGGGTGCGTGGCGGTGTCCCAGAGGTGGGCCGAGGTGACTGCGGGCGGCGGGGTCGGGCCTGGCCGGGACCCTGGCCGGGCCCCCGAGGTAGGCGGAGTGGCGGGCGGGGCCGAGCTGGAGGCTGGCGGCGCGCTGCCTACTCCGGGAGCGGGGCCGGGTCCCCGAGCAGCCACGGGCGTGGAGGAGTCCTGCGCCGGTGGCGGCGGCGGCGGCTGCTTGATGCGGCTGTGGATGCGGCGGCGACTGCTGCGGTGGCGGCTGCTGCGGCGGCGGCTGCTGAGGTGGCGGCGGCTGAGGCGGCGGCTACTGCGGCGGCGGCGGCCGCGGCGGTGTCTGTTGCTGCTGTTGGTGTGGATGCGGTGGCGGGATCGGACGGAGGCTTAGCAGCGCTCTGGCCCTGGCCGGGACCCATCGGGCCGCGCTCCTGGTTGAGGCTCACGCGGGGCGGCGGGGAACGGAAGTCCTGGAGGTCGCCGCGGCCGCCGCCGCCTCCGCGCCTGTGGAAGCCACAACGCCTCCGCCGCGACTCCGGAACCGATCTCGAGACATGTCTGTGGTCAAGGGGCGGTCGAGGCCGAAGCGAAGAAGGCGCTCAGGAAACGTGGAGGCCACCTTGCTTCTTACAAAATGGCGGATGACACAGACCGAATATTTTTTAAAAAAGGACAATCATAAGCTTGCTTTGAAAGTCAAATGGGAAGTAGAGACATTTGTTGTATGAAGTGGAGAACGTTTTACGTTGCTGTCATATAAAATGTCAGACCATTAGGCAGTTCCCATTGGTACATAGTTCCAATTGTAATCTAACCTGGTTAAATAAACAGTAAAGCAAACCTATTTTCCTAATTTCTGGTTTTATTTTTCAAGTTGAAGTTTTGACCAAACCTAATTTTTTTTCCATACTGTTAACTAAGAAGTTTTGATTCTCATTTAAAATAGGCTTACTTACAGTGGACTTTTTCTAGTACCATTTGTTCCTTGAGAACTGAGTCATGAGCTGTGATAAGTAAAATATTTAGAAGGCTGTTCAAGGTGTACAGTGGTGCAGAGGAAGCAGGAGTGGGAAGGGAGAAGGCTTCCTGGAAGAGGTGGTATCCAGGTTGGGGCTTCAATGCGAGCAAATTGAGGTAGTAAGAGGCAAATAGGGGAGTTGTCTCTCAAGGCAGCTAGTGAGGCATCCTGGGCTTTAGGGTTGCATATATTTGGGTTCAGATTCATGTTTGGTCTCTCTCTCTTTTTTTTTTTTTGACGGAGTTTCACTCTTGTTACCCAGGCTGGAGTGCAATGGCGCGATCTCGGCTCACCGCAACCTTCGCCTCCTGGGTTCAGGCAATTCTCCTGCCTCAACCTTCTGAGTAGCTGGGATTACAGGCACGCGCCACCATGCCCAGCTAATGTTGTGTATTTTTAGTAGAGACGGGGTTTCACCATGTTGACCAGGATGGTCTCGATCTCTTGACCTCGTGATCCACCCGCCTCGGCCTCCCAAAGTGCTGGGATTACAGGCTTGAGCCACCGCGCCCGGCCATGTTCCGTCTCTTACTTGCTTTTTGTACCAGGGCAAATTACTTAACTTTTGTGAGTCTTTGATTTATCATCCAATTTTTTTTTTTTTTTAAGACAGGGCCTTACTCTGTCACCCAGGCTGGAGTGCAGTGATGCAATTAAAGCTCACTGCAACCTCCACCTCCCGAGCTCAAGCCATCCTTTTACTTTAGCTTTCTGAGTAGCTGAGACTACAGATGTGCCCCATCACACTTGGTTAATTTGTGTATTTTTTGTACAGACGGAGTTTCATCATGTTGCCAAGACTGGTCTCTAACTCTGAGCTCACTCTGAGCTCAAGAAATTTGGCTGCCCAAAGTGCTGGGATTACAGACGTAAGCCACCATGCCTGGCTTGAAAATCCATACAAATTAAAAATAGCAACTTTATAGATTTAAGTTATAATGAGCTAATAAAGCAGGACCTCCTTTGTTAGGCCCTCAGTTCTGCTTTCTCCTTCAAGAACATAGATAGCTTAAATACGACATTGCTCCTGTTAGTCTTTTGTTTCTTGTCTTCTGCCAACATGATAAATTACGTCAGCTTTCCAAACCAACAAGAACAGTCCACCAACAGCTAATGTTATAAGTAAATGACAATCCATGGGTCAATTAGAGGAAGTAGAACTATACACTCTAGTACTCGCACAAGAGCCAAGTACACTGGTTAAAAACACTAACTTGAGGCCAGGCGTGGTGGCTCGTGCCTGTAATCCAAGCACTTTGGAGGCCAAGGTGGGCGGATCACCTGAGGTCGGGAGTTCAAGAGCAGCCTGACCAACATGGTGAAACCCCGTCTTTATTAAAAAACAAAACAAAACAAAACACTAACTTGAGAATGAGAAGTCAATTTGTTAGTTATGAAGTCTTGGCCGTGTGACTTAGCCTCTGTAAGAAGACAACTAAACAAAACCTTTAGTTGTTTTTGAAGATTTAGAATTAGGTATTGCTTCTACTGGGAAGTTGTTGTCGGCAAAAACCTAGACACATTGACTAGTTATACCAGTAGTTTCAGTCCTAATACTTGAGAACAATTTCTGCTTTGCTAATGTTTGCCTCACAGTCTACAGTTTCCATCTGGGTAGAACATGAGTGGTGGCGGTGGTGTTAGCAGCTGTGGCTATGGGGACTCAAGAACAAAGCAGTGATCCTAAGGCGAAGCTTCAGGCTATAACTGCTAGGGGCTTATGCAGACATTGCTGAACTTGTGTCACCATGATGGTGCTACTGGAGAGCAAGCAGTTCCTCACGGAGCTGATCAGACTCCTCCAGAAGTGCCAGCCGCCAGGTAGCATGTGTATCACCTTGAAGAAGTCTGGTGGTTGAACCAAACGCATTCTAAAGAAAGGTTCTGCTGTGGACTTTGAGTCTTTAGAGTGGTGTCTGTTAAGAGCTGCTGATGGGAAAAAGATTAGCACTGTGGTGAGCTCCAAAGAAGTGAATAAGTTCTGAATGGCTTATTCAAACCTACCACGAACTAACATGGGTGGGCTGAAGAAGAGGTACAAAAAGAACACAAGTAACATCAAAGCAATACAGTGAAGGGCACTGAATTTTCTTTGCTTTCACCGACTGACCAGTGAATTGCAATTTTTCCTTTAGTTTTTACTTTTGGCCACATAGCTAGGTTTCTGGTTCCCGGGCAGTGGGTGTTTTCACGTAAGATGAGGTTCATTTTGGAGAGAATAATTGCAATGTTTATAGGGTGGTTGTGGTAAGAAGCTAGTTTATTTTACATCTGGCTAATTGGTCTGTGCTGCATGGTTGTATACTATTGGATTATAGAGTAAAAGTCTCTGTAGTCATCTCTGTGAAGACCAATGTATCATTAAATACCTCTGCTTAGCAGCAGCAGCAGCAACAACAACAACAACAAAAGTGACTGTAACTGTAAAGTGCTGCCAGAGAATCCAGGGAGAGCAAAGGGCATGCCTCCGGATTACACAACAAGGAACGGGATTTGGCGGTAGCTGCAGGTCCTTTAATTCAGAGAATAGAAAATGTCCTCTGATTCTGCAGCTATTAATAGTTAACTTACCTTGGAGCAAACACCCTGCATTTTCTCACTAATGTTCACAGTAAGGTAGGTACTATTATAACCACTGTTTTCCAGATGAGGACCCTAAGTCTTAGAGAGGCTGAGTTACATGACCAAGACTTCATAGCTAATGAGTTGAGTTCTCATTCTCAAGTTAGTGCTCCTAATCAGTGTACTTGGCTCCTGTGCAAGTACTGGATTGCATCGTTCTATTTCTTCTAATTGCCACATGGATTGCCTTTTACCATTAGCTGTTGGTGGCTGAGGTAATGTACCATGTTGGTGGAAGAGAGGAATGTAGGTAGAAGAGGGTAAATAAAGAGTGCCAGCCGGCAAAGCCATTGTCAAGTCGTCAAATAGTTCTTTAGCAATGCTTTGTATCAGGCAGTGTTTCAGATGAACTCAATACAATTCCTTTCAGGGACTCACCATTTGTTAGGTGACAGACAAAAATAAAACAATACTATAGTAAGAAAAGAGCAGGACCAGAACTTACACAGGTGCAGCTGGTACACAGGGGTGAGCATTTCTGCTTTGGGGATTTAGGGACGGCTGCACAGAATAAGAGCATTGAGCTCTCTTGAAAGATAAATAGGAGCTCACCAGTCAGGCATGGCATAGATTTGGGTGCCGATGACAAAGGGAGGAGCTCTGACACCATTCATAGTTTGGTAGTGCTGATGGGAGGATTTGAAATAACAGGCATTCTGCTGACCTGGGCAAACGGACTCAGATCATGAAGGGCCCTTTATGTTAGGGTAAGGAGTTTGGACTATTATCTCTTCTTTTTTTTTTTTGAGAAAAAGTCTTGCTCTGTCACCCAGGCTGGAGTGTAGTTACGTGATCTCAGCTTACTGCAACCTCTGTCTCCTGGGTTCAAGTGATTCTCCTGCCACAGCCTCCTGAGTAGCTGGGATTACAGGCATGCGCCACCATGCCCAGCTAATGTTTTGTATTTTTAGTAGAGACGGGGTTTCACCATGTTGACCAGGATGGTCTCGATCTCTTGACCTCGTGATCCACCCGCCTCGGCCTCCCAAAGTGCTGAGATTACAGGCTTGAGCCACCGCGCCCGGCTGAGAAAAAAATTTTTCTACAAAGTAATTTGATTGCCATTTTGGTCCTACCAGGGCCTTCATGGGAATCAGAGGTTCCTGTATATTTATAAATCATATATTTACTTTAGAATAATAAACCATATTGTATTAGTCTATTCTCATGCTGCTAGACATACTTGAGACTGGGTAGTTTATAAAGGAAGGGAGGTTTTTTTTTGTTTTTTGTTTTTTTTTTTGAGATGGAGTTTTGCTCTTGTTACCCTGGCTGGAGTGCAATGGCGCGATCTCGGCTCACCGCAACCTCCGCCTCCTGGGTTCAGGCAATTCTTCTGCCTCAGCCTCCTGAGTAGCTGGGATTACAGGCACGCGCCACCATGCCCAGCTAATGTTTTGTATTTTTAGTAGAGACGGGGTTTCACCATGTTGACCAGGATGGTCTCGATCTCTTGACCTCGTGATCCACCCGCCTCGGCCTCCCAAAGTGCTGGGATTACAGGCGTGAGCCACCGCGCCCGGCCAGGAAGGGAGGTTTAACAGACACACAGTTCCACATGGCTGGGGAGGACTCACAATCATGGTGGAAGGCGAAGAAGGCGCAGAGACACATCTTACATGGTGGCAGACATGAGAGAGCTTGTGCAGGGAACTCTCATTTATAAAACCATCAGATCTCATGAGACTTATTCACTACCATGAGAACAGTATGGGGGAAGACCTGCTCCTATGATTCAATTACCTCCCACGACATGGGAATTATGGGAGCTACAATTCAAGATGAGATTTGGGTGGAGATACAGCCAAACCATATCACATATAATTATTTTAGAATAATCACTGAGGAAGCAGGGTAAAAAATGCATTGGAAAGGGTGGCAAGAAAGAAGGTACTGAAATAAAGAAGACAATACAATAATTCAGAAAAGAGATGGCTAGACCTGAATTTGGCTTACAGCAGCTGTGATGGAGAGCTGAAGAGGGATGCACAAGATATTTGGAGATAGAATTAGCACAACGTGGTGCAGCCCTCAGAACCAATCAGGTTCATCCTCGCCAAAGACTTACTAGGTAAGGGGACATTCTGTCCTGTAGTTTATCTCTCACCAATTTCAAGAAAAATGAATATTTACAGATAAGTAGAAGAGAGGCAAGTAGGACAGGTGCTCCCCAGGTTTTTAAGTAATGTGACTTGGAAGCAGGCTTGGAAGAATCAGGAACGATTCGAGTTTTTAAAGGTTTCAGTGTTCTGTCCCACTGGGTCAGGATGGCATTTCTGGCTCCATCCCATTTTCCAGGGCCCACGAGGCGGTACTGGTAAGGAGTACATGGTCCAAAGAAAACCTCCCAAGCTAGTCTGGGATCCTTGAGGAACAGAAGTGGGATGCTGGGCTTTGTGCCTATGCAGGCAGCGATATCATCCATGTAGGCAATGTAGTCCAATTTGTCTTTGTTGCTGTCTTTAATCACACCTCTGAGAAGGAAAAAAGATGGATGTTTTTCATTAACCACCCCTGCCCTGCATTTCTCAAGTTATCAGACCCCCCCCCCCACCATTTTGTTACATTTTTTGGGGGAATC